CCATAATGATAACGACTCAGACGGCACGGAGGATGTGCATAAGGCATGTGCACACGACTCATGTACATTGCAGACAGTCGATGATTTTCGACAAAAGAATCTATTGAGATCGATCGAAATCGAAAAAAAATTGATTTGAATCTTTACTCGATGTGAAAAGAGCTTGTCACGATTTGCATGAGACATATGCGTAACACGTATATCACGTGTACAATTCATTTTCATTATGATGTTGTCCTGTATTTTTTACATGGATAACTAGTTGCGTTTGAGCCGATATGATGGCGGATTGATTCTTACGATCAGCGATTGTCGCTGGGCACATGCACTCAAAAATACCAGCCGAAAACCTTGAAACTTCAAATCACTTTAAGGGGATGCCTACATTTATTTCAGGTTGTATATGTTATTTCAGTTTTTTTGGAAACAAACAAGGCAGCAACAGGAATAATCAAATAGTATGCGAATCATTAAATAAAAACTAATAAAATATTGTTATTTTATAAATTCATCAGATCTTATGATACATTTTGGTACTAAACAGATATTTCGTTTGAATGCGACATGAGCAAGTTTCTTCAAGTGTTAAGCGAAGAGAAACTACTCTTATCTTATCATATCACGACGATGCATATAAGCATATAACGAGAGTCTTATCGACATTTGCGCATTTGAAAACAACAACTCCGAGTAATATAATTATGATTTGTTTCAAACTGGTAGTTTTTATTCTTGTCTATGTTGTAACTAATGTCAATGGATTATGTGACAAACAAACGGGTCCAATTGGGAGCATCGAATGTTCTTTGAATGACGGTTTCATTAAGAAACAATGGAGTACATGTTTGACAAATAATTATATCCAATGGCATTCACAAGGAGGCGAAAAGTGTACAGGTCAAAATGATAACTATTGCATCTATGCATGTATGCGTGAAGTATATTATGCGAGAGATGGTGATGTAGTTGATACATGTGCTTGTAATGATTAATTAGTACCACCAACATCTTCATTACTGACTGAATGTTTCAGTCCCGATGGATCAAATTGTGATTGGTACAAGAATTGTTTCGAACGCAAATATTCATGTCAAGGTACTTCAACCGAATATCTTCTCACTTATGCAACCATATTCTGTAATCTGTACATAAAACATAAAGACATGTTTACTGATCGGGCACAACGTTGGATCAATGATGGGCGTAAATGTTTACAAGTAGCTCTTGTTCCATTCATTCGACCATTTTTTAATGGTAATTGTCAAGAGATTCACGATATAACACTTGATGCATTTAAACCTTGCAATATGAAACCCTATCCGGAAGAAGGATCAATCTGTAAAATGACCAGAGGAGATTGGTTACGAGCGTTTTGGATGATGAAATCGGAATATAGTATATCAACACCGACAGCAGCCTATGTTTGGTTACAAGATGCACTCGATACCTTTTATGAATGTCAAAATAATCCACCAGTGAATGATTTCGGACACGTTCATCAAGAATTTAAACTAATAATTGATCTAATTCAAACATCTTGGAATGATCAAATGAATTTAAACAAAGATCAGTTTGATCAAATTGCGGTCGATATTGCCCATCGAATTGCTAAGTCTCTAATGGCACCACCAGAACGATGGGGATGGTATGCATATGGAATACCCGTAGCAAGACAGCGTAGTACTGCTGTATACAAACAGATTACTATCGTACTACTTGTTGCTGACTTGTCTGGCATCGTCAATGACACTTTGATACGACTTGTCAACATACCTAATCTTGAGTTCAACGAGCTAATTCGAAAGCTTAAAAATGCATTGATTAAAGGTGATTTGCATATACGGAATGACAATGGAACATTTTATGTGTCACAAATGAGTCATTGTACGGATATGAAATGTCACGCGACAACAGAAACTATGTTTGCACCTCTATATGTTCCGAAGAATGATAGCAGCACCACCAGCATGAGCAGTACCAGCGCCATGAGCAACAGCGGCAGTACGGTCTACTTCTCGATGATGTTCTTCCTTCTCATCACGTGGATGTTTTTCTGTAATCTAGTCAATTTTATCTACCTGTATTAATTGAAGATCAAGTCTCTATTGATTGAAATTAATTGGCTACTTCTCATTTACGAAAATAAATAAAATGAAGTTTACATAAAATAAAATTATTTTAAATTCTCAGTTGATTAGAAAGTTTATTAATTTTAAATGAAGTGATAAAACTTTTTAAAAATGTTGTGCACAGATATGATTAGCGAAGCGGATAAAGAAGAAAAAATTTTCTTTTTAAATTTTAGTTTCAAATTTGCTTTGTATTAAATAGAATTTGTGCGATTTGTAGAGAACGTAAATTTCTGTTGAGTAAAGATTTGGGTGTGGGTGTGGATTTAGAACTACCAATCAACTTATACCCACACCCATACCACACCCACACCCACCCACACCCACACCTACATCCACACCCGCACGCACACCCACACACACACGCACACGCACACCCACACCCACCCACACCCATACCCACACCCACACCCACGCACAGCCCAGAATATCACATGAAAACATGCATTTTTTCTAAACATCGGACGACGACTCGAAATAAGATCGAAAGACACTATGGTGTCCTTCATATATACATACCTTGCATTTGAAAAGATTTTTTCTGAATTGAAATGCATTTCGGTAGTTTCACTTGATACTGTTTATCTTTATATAAAACTTATTAATTTTCAGCGTACCTACACCCAAAAATAGTTAGAAGACATATTAGGAGCACGAAGTAAATATTAGAAACAGTGAATCGATAGAAAGCACTCAACTCTAAAGTATCAATATTAGCAAGTTTGTAAAAAAGTATTTAAACTCTCAGCACCTTCATTAGCAACGACGAAATCCAACTTTCCATCACTGTCTAAATCACCCACAGAAATTGAGAACGGATGAGATCCATAACTAGTCGAAAAAAGCGTAACATTTGCAAACGAGCCATTTCCATAACCGAACAATACACCTATGTTGTTTGTACCAAAATTCGCAACAATTATATCCAGCAAAGTGTCGTTATTGAAATCGCCCACAGCAACCATGTTTGGTTGAGAGTTAAAACCAGTTGTAAACACTTTTTGACTTGAAAAAGATCCATTACTATGTCCCAGAAACACACCAACATTGTGACTATCACGGTTTGCAACAACTATATCAAGTATGGCATCATTGTTGAAATCATCAACAGCTATTGACCATGGTGAAGAACAAGTTGAATATGTTATTTGATTTGCGAAAGAACCATTGTTATATCTTAAAAAAATACCGATATTGTTCGTGCCTGAATTCGCCACTGCAACATCCATTTGACCATCCTTGTTAAAATCGCTAATAGCCAACGACTTAGGGCGAGATCCATTGCCAATTATAAGTCGTATTTGTTTTAAGAAACCTTCTTTTGGATATCCAAGATATACACTAACACTTCTCTCATTAGTATTAGCGACAACGATATCCAATTGAGTGTCCTTATTGAAATCGCCAACAGCTACAGATGAAGGACTAGCGCCAGTGAAATATACCATTTGTTTCTCAAAAACACCATTACCATATCCAAGCAAAATACTCATAGTGTTGTCAAGCCAGTTAGTAACGACAATATCTAGTTTTTTGTCGTTGTTAAAATCATCAACAGCGACAGCACTTGCGCCAGAACCAGCTGAATATTTCATTTGATTTGCAAAAGAGCCATCGCCATATCCGAGAAGGATACTTACAGTGTTATCCCCAGAATTAGCAACGACAATATCCAATTGGGTGTCGTTGTTAAAATCACCCACATCTACAGACTGTGGCAAAGCACCAGTTGAATAAATCATTTGATTTGCAAAAGAGCCATCGCCATATCCGAGAAGGATGCTTACAGTACTGTCACCATAATTAACGACGACGATATCCAGATGAGTGTCACTGTTAAAATCACTAACAACTATGGGCCATGTTTGATAGCCTGTTGCATATTTCGTTTGATTTGCAAAAGAGCCATTGCCATATCCAAGAAGGACTCCTACAGTGTTATCATCATTAGCGATGACGATATCCAATCGGGCGTCGTTGTTAAAGTCACCAACAACTACAAATAAGTGTCCAGATTCAGCTGAATACTTGGTTTGATTTGAAAAAGAACCATTGCCATATCCGAGAAGGATACTTAGAGTGCCGCCGACTCTATTGGCTACGACGATATCCAGATGAGTGTCGTTGTTAAAGTCACCAACAGCTACTGAGAATGGCGAGGAACCAGTGGAATATTCTGTTTGCTTTGCATAAGAACCATCGCCATAGCCAAGAAGGATACTGATAGTATTGTCCCGCTGATTAGCAACGACGACATCCAGATTGGTATTTTTATTAAAATCACCCAGAGCTACGGATCTAGGCCAAATACCAGTTGAATATTTAATATCATGACTGAAAGATCCAAGATCGTATGTGATAAACATATCAACATGATCAATGCCATCATATGCAACAAAAATTTCTGAATGTTCATGTTGATTTAGACTACTAGCACCAATCACCAGAGGAGAGAAATCGAAATCTATACTGTAACTTGCTTGATTTTCAAATGTTGCATTCTCATTTCCCAGAAATGTAACAAGATTTTTAGTGCCATAATTAACCACGGCTATATCTCCTCGGCCGTCTCTATTGAAATCATGGATAGCTACTGAGTAAGGATTAGAATTTAAGCCTGTTGAGAGCAACATCTGCTTTCCGAAAGTACCATTCCGATGTCCAAGAAGGAAACCTATGCTGTTAGTGCCATAATTAGCAACGACGATATCCAATACACTGTCATTATTGAAATCAAAAACTGCAAAGCTTTGCAAACGAGAACCATCGCTAGTGGCAAACGTGATTTTATCTTTTAGAGCACCTCGGTCATACCGAAGTAGTATACTCACAGTGTTGTCATTAAAATTGGCAACGGCAATATCCGTTCGAGTATCGTGGTTAAAATCACCAACAGCGATAGCTTCTGGGCCGGAGTCGGTTAAATATATCGTTTGATTAGCAAAAGAACCATCACCATTTCCAAGAAGTACACTTACAGTGTTGCCACCAAAATTGGCGGTAATGATGTCAAGTGTGATGTCGTTATTGAAGTCAGCAACAGCTACTGACACTGGTTTAGAGCCAGTCGAATACGTCTTTCGATTTGCAAAAGATCCATCATCATATCCGAGAAGAACACTTACGGTGTCGTCAAGAGAATTAGTAAAAACGACATCCATATGAGTGTCGTGGTTAAAGTCACCAACAGCTACAGACTCTGGTGAAGATCCAGTTAAATATGTTATTTGATCTGCAAAAGAGCCATTACCATATCCAAGAAGGACACTTATAGTGCTGTCATCGTAATTAGCAATGACGATATCCAGACAGGCGTCATTATTAAAGTCATCAATAGCTACTGAGACTGGTCCAGAACCAGTTGGATATTTTATTTGATTTGCAAAAGAGCCATTTCCATATCCAAGAAGGACACTTACAGTGTTATCACCTGTATTGGCTACGACGATATCAAGTTTGGCATCGTTATTACAGTCATCAATAGCTACAGAGAATGGCTGAATGCCAGTTGGATATTTTGTTTGATTTGCAAAGGAGCCATTACCATATCCGAGGAGAACACTTACAGTGCGGTCTCCACTATTAGCCACAACGATGTCCGGATGAGTGTCGTGGTTAAAGTCACCAACAGTTATAAACCCGGGCGAGGAGCCAGTGGAATATTGCGTTTGCTTTGCCAAAGAGCCATCGCCATTTCCAAGAAGGACACTTGCAGTATTGCTATAATAATTAGCGACAACGACATCCAGGTGAGTGTCGTTATTAAAATCACGAACTGCTACAGAGAATGGCGATCTGCCAGTTGAATACGTCTTTTGAATCGGAAAAAATTCGTCATAGCCAACCATAATGCCTATGGTGTTTGTATCATTGCTGATGAAGACAATGTCTGAGCGATTGTCTTTGTTCAAGTCACCTATGGTAACGGAGATTGATGAAGAAGATCCAGTTGAATACATGGTTGGGCTCGCAAAGGTACCGTTGCCATATCCGACAAGTAAAGCTATATTGTGAGAACCATTATTGGTGATTACTAAATCCATTCGATTGTCGTTGTTGAAGTCACCAATGCCAATAGCATATGGAGAAGCAACACCGAGGGAATACGTCACCTGGCTCATAAAAGTTCCGTTACCGTGACCCAGAAGTATACCTACACTGTTATTTCCATGTTTAGTGACAGCAATATCTAGCATGTCATCTTCGTTTAAATGACCGATGGCAAGCGAGTATGGGTGAGAATGGGGACCAGTTAAGAATGTGCTTTGGCTTGCAAAAGTGCCGTTACTAACCCCAAGCATGATACCGACATTATTGGTACCATAATTGGCGATAGCAAGATCCATATGTTTGTCGTTGTTGAAATCGCCACTAACAACCGCTAACGGGAAAGCATCATAGCCTGTATAGAATGTGCTTGACCCTGAAAAACTTGCATTTCCATATCCATAAAATACAGTCACACTGTGTGTGCCGTAGTTAGCAGTGACAATATCTAATATTGCATCATTATTAGTATCTGCTATATGGATCCAAACGGGCCGAGATGATGCAGTAGATAGAGTTGTTTTGTTCGCAAAAGATCCATTTTGAAATCTAAGAAATACACCGACGCTATTAGTACCGAAATTTGCGACGGCGATATCGAGTCGCTGATCGTTGTCGAAATCACCAACAGCAATCATGTACGGAGCAGAGCCATAACCAGTTGAAAACATGACTGGACTTGCCACAGTACCATCACCATGTCCAAAATATATGGCTATATTGTCAGCAGCATAATTGGCAACAACAATATCTAGCGAGGTATCGTTGTTGAAGTCTCCCATGGCAACTGCTCGTGGACCATACTTATAGTTAATTGGAGTGTGGGCAGTTGCTTTAAAATTAAGTTCACATTTTGGAACTAAGTAGCGCAAGAACAAAGAAATAAAGACTGATCAGTTACTATGATTTAGCTATTCCTAATCGATCGTATCAGACTTCGATAATCCTGATGATTTGCTATTTAGAATAGTCAGATTATTACAAACAAATCTGAGTGAGAACCAGCACTTTTCAATAGAACCTCGTTGAGTCTCGTGAAACCCATAATGACTGAGGAAGAACAAAGACAGTAGCTAACATAATGAGAAAACGAATTATGAACTGCCGCTAACTAAGAGTTCAAAACCACATTCGTGTCTCTTTTACTGATTCTTGAAGGACATGCCATTAGCTACAATTAGAATATAATGATGATATTTTCGGACCGTTTCGAAATCAAATGAATGTCAGTATGTCCGTGTTGCAAAACTCTTGCCATCATGTCATGAATATCACGCATTGTTGACTAACAACAGCAATTAGAATATAACAAGTTTTTTTACGAGTGTTCGAGATTACGCAATGAATAGAACACTGACAATTTATTAACAGTTATCATCTGATGAATTGAGTGATGATTAATTTCTAATGTTGAACATCGTGATCATACTCCAATGTTATAATACGACCTGCATAGCTATATGATGGTTTCGGGTAATTGATAAGTGCTTTTTATTTGGTTAGAGGGCTGAAACGGCGAATTAATATTACGGACAGGTTATCTTATTGGGTAATGGAACATGTGTCAGTTTAATTTTTTGCTCCAAAGAAACCTATTTTACGAAAATAACCATGTGTTTGAAGAGTGATAAAATGATTATGAGGTTGAGGAATCCGAACCCATTTATGATTTCTCAAAATTTGTAGTGTCATTTTGTTGGAGCTGTAGTTCTTCCAGAGGGAAAACCTCAAGGCTACACATTTCGAAAGGTCACGAATAAAGGAGGACGCATAACAAGACAAATCACCTATTTGGGAACGATGCAATGACTTCTGATGCATATTGCTGTACCATATTTTTACTGCAGTCAGATGGCTGTACAATAGCAATAACTTTGTGAAAACATTTGTTCGCCTGCCTATAAATAGTCTCATTTGAAAGACAAGTAAATTATCTAAAAATTATCAGATGAAAAACTGAAGTCATGTCGAGATAATAGTGCCTCTATCGATATTTCGAGTATATCAGGAAGGTTCTGACTTCTTAATTGCTTTGGAGACAGCTTTACGATGGACTGTCCTCTTCAGAGTGTGATGCAATTTTTGACGGACTACACGCTGGTAAAGTTTTCTTGTGGATATCATAATTGTACAGATGAGAAACCTCCACTACTGATCGTAGATCGACTCCAGAAAACCACATAATCAGCTTCTGTTTTGTTAATATGGATACCATAGGTTCTTCTGAAATGGCAGCACATATGGTTGCAGTTTTAGGCACGATCAAACCTTGAAAGGCTTTAGCTAATAAAATAACTAGAAGAAAACTACCCCAACGGTTAGACCGTCAAAAACTGCATCAAACCCTATAGAAACACTATTAGTTCATCGTAAATTCAGCTTCTAGTTATTTTATTGTTGGATATAGCCGTTTGGGTGCAGTGACAATATGGTCTATTAATCTGGATTAGGAACCATTGATTGGCTTTCTAAACAGATTAAATGCGGTGTCCAATGATTCGCTGTCTCATTCTGCATCGAAATAACGTATGAGGCAGATTAGATGACTAAACTTTGCATTATAATCTTTACTCACTTAATACGTTGTGTTGTACTTTTTTCTTTCAAAATGCACAGAATTTCGAGAGATTTAATTTCGACCATGCGAAAACGAGATTTTCTTTGTACAAGATGACTTCGTTTTTTCTTATTTCATCTTTTTGTCATCTAATAGTTTTTAGTTGAAAGAACAAAATATACTACTAGATGCACCGTGAAAAGCTACACAATTTACACAGTAAAGCTTATGTTATTTTTTTTCTAAAGCAACAAAATTTTGTGCGACAATTTTTCTCACGGTCGAAATTCGATCGCTCAAAATCTTGTCCATTTTCAAAGCAAATGTAACCTGATATTAAGTAATTGAAAATTGAAATGCAAAGTGTAGCCATTTTATCTACCTCAGCCGTTATAGACTTGTTTCGAAAATTCTGATGTAGGCAAATTCGTTTTCTTATGTGTTCTTTCTCTGGATTTCATGCTTTTGGAACATTTTGGATCAAAGTTCATAAAAGAGGCTTTGTTTGAGACAAAAATCAAACTGACCAATATGCCCTCACTAGCAAGTAATACTTACCACTGACTGGTAACCTTAGTAATATGAGAGTCATACTCATAAATACCTGTTCTTTGCGCTTAAAGTTTTCTCGTCAGTAAAATTCATAGAACAGAAAAAAATCCAAAAGAATTCGTACTATTAGCTATATCTCAATAAAGGAAGGTTTTCACGAGCTAACTTCTTACAAACTCATTTTACACCTCGCTGCTTATCGTATAAAAAAAGACGATCTTTACCTAACGTTTTTCTTAATAAGGAAATTACAATGATACGAAGAATGAGAATAAAATAAAAAATCAAGAAAAGAATTGATCAGTCTAATGATGATTATAATTTGAAAAAAGAGTGAATCATGTTCTTGTTGCACCAAGAACAATGAATCATTTACCCATCAATGCAACTCTTTTCATGGCATCTGTCTGTTTGAAATTTGAAGCAAGTATCTTTAACATTCTAAAATGGGCCAGGATCAATTTTCAAAAAAGATTTTTCAGTCAGACGTACTCTATCATACGTGAAAAAGGCAGAATGGAGGTATAGGCGTGTGAGTTTATAGAAGAGGAACATTCATCTAAATGGGGGTATATCGATGCTAATGTGAATGGATTTTTGGAATCGTGCTCTTCCTATTCATTATCATCATCCAATATGGTTTCCGTTTCAACTATTTAAGGTATACTTTCCATAAAGATTAAATACAATGTGTTCTTTGTCAGACTATTTGTCCACTTTGTGAAAATGATTAACTACTGATCAGTTATTAGTCAGATAAAAGTATTATTTTATGACGTGTATACAAAGTTTTACAGCTTGAAAGAGCTGTAACAGAAATAAATCACTAGAAAATATGTGAGAACATGCATGAATCAAAAAGAAAGATTGAAAAAGAAAACGAATGTACCTGAACATGCTGGAAAAGAAGATATATACGTATTCAAACTTGATATCAGAACGAAAAAAGATAGAGATGGAATATGCATACTACTTACATTCCTTTACCGGTAGCATTAAGTGAGAAAATGTAGAGATATGTACTGTTGAGAAGAAACATTTACTTTCGTAATGTTCTATAAGAATTGAGTTGTATTTTCTCATATTCTTTCGTATTTCTATTATATTCAAGAATATATCGATGAGATAGAGAAAAAGAAATCAAGGATAAGCTGCTGTTTTCATTTAGTGACGTGAAAGAGTACCATCAAAAACAATAGAAGAAGTGATTCTAGAAAATTGAATAAGATAAAGTTGATCTTTCAGCAATAAGTAACAATGCGTAACAACAATTTGTAGAAACCAGCTCGTGAAATTGTTGTTTTATTGACATATGAAAAAACTAAGAGAAAACGCGATAAACTTCGTCTTTGAGAAACTTACTATCTGCGTTCCTCTAGAACAGAGCGGCAATGTGATGATGCTTTCTGGAATCATTTTCTAATCTATAATTCCTTCCAATAAATGAAATAGGAAGGCTCGAGTTAGAGACAAAGTGTCAAATCTACTGATGATAATCACCTTAGTTGATTAGTGTTCGTCAAAGGATATTTGAAATGGAAAAGGGAAGCAGTCGTAATGCTTATTATTCTGTTCTCTCCAGATGGTTTGAGTTTTTTTTTAACCCAGAGTCACAATACAGATGAAACAGAATCGAATAAACTGTGGATTTTTATCGTATTGAATACGAAGAATACAAAGCAATAAGTACGTACCTGGTGATTTTGGTGAAGTAAAGCAAACTACCAGAATACCTATGATCGTAAGTATACTTGTAATCATAGGCAATACAAAGGTAGGCTTGGGTATGAAATCCAACATTAGCCAATAAAAAAGCTTCCTAGGAAAGAGCAACAACGACAATATTTTATATTAAAAGAAAAAGTCATACATATTCTGTTGAAACGTATAATTTTTTATTCTATTGATAATTTTATGCTGAGCGTCTCTTGCATTTTGTGCATTTGCTATCGTCTTTGGCTTGTTGATTGAACTGACAAACCCACTTTTCTTTGGAAATGAGGACTTAGTTGATTCAGCGCTGTTGTTCATGCTAACCATTTCAATCTAAGAAGAGATAGTAGGTAAGGAAGAACGCATACCTAGCATGAACATATAAATAAATCTCTAACAATGGGCAGTTTCTACAACAAACTGTTCCTGCAGTATTTCTGCTCAATCCGTTCAGTCCACATACGTATAAGGATACAACTTTTCTATGCCATTTTAACAATTTCTCAACTGTTAAATAAATGTGTTTGATATGTTGAGAAGACTGCACAACATATCTAACGATCAAGTTATACCTGATCAAAACACTGTGTGCACACTGCAGTATATTAAAACGCTTATCAAAGCTACCGGTTATTTCCTTTTTGCTGATTTTTATCAAAACTAATACACATTGTTTTTTCTGTCTTCAATTCTGTTGTATAAATACTTTCAGATGGAAGACTTTCAACATGTTTTCTAACAATATTTTTTAAAATAGTCTCTTGCAGAATTTCAGATTCGTCAAACTTTGAGCAAGACATCACAATCACCATTTTTAGAATTGTTACTTGGAGAAGTAAAACTTTCCTAGAATTTCTATATATAAAAGGCATATCGAAGTTATTTCGTCCTCTTTTCGACATCTGCAAAAAAGTTATCAAAGTAAGATTAGTTTTGAAAGAAAAGTATATTAAAGTATTT